CTGTTAGTCTTTGCGCTAGTGTCAATGCTATATTGCCTTATATGTATTAGCTCGGTGCTAGTGTGACAAGCTAAGCTGTTGTCCTCCAACCATATTTTCAGTCAACGCTCTCTGGTTTCATTTAAAAGAGTCGATCATCAGATATTGTCCAAGATTAACCTTCAGGGTGGATATAGCTCGCTAGCAGCCTCGCACCGAGGACCTATCCACGTCATCATTTACCCAGAATGCTTTGCGTGTAAATAAAATGGCCCCGTCCGTGTTAAAATAGATTTTTAAAAATGTACAAAACTAAACAGCACACAGTATTTTTACAGTCTTTATTTTACAGTTAAAATAAATGTTTATCAAATAAATTCTAATGTCACAACTAATCAGGGATCCCTTTAAGGGATTAAATTGTGAAATCTTGAAAAGTGGGTCATATAATCTCCCCGACCACAGCTCTTGTGAGGTGTTACYGGTCTGCAGTGGTCAAGAACTGATCTGATGAAACGGCGACGGAGTCGTCGGTGACGCGTTTGTTTGTGTTTCAGGGCCGTAGCTGGGAACCCTCCATGTTGTCCCGCTGCACTCAGGGTTTGACCTCCGTCCTGCTCGCTCTGAAAAAATGTCCCCTGATCCGCTACCAGCTGTCCTCGGASATGTCCAAACGCCTGGCGGAGAGCGTCAAGGTATTCAGTGAAAACGACACATCATTGTTCATCAACCGCAAAACCAATCTCACACTTTATCTTTAAAACGGCCTCATTGTGAATAATTTGGTTTATCTTTGAACCTTAAAGAACATTTTAATAAAAATAACTAAGAAGGATTTTAAATAGTATTTTCCTGGAGTAACCAACAGTTTTCTCTCCTCAGCAAATCATCACAAAGGAATACGAGCTGTTCGACTTCAGGAAGACTGAAGTTCCTCCTCTGCTGCTGATCCTGGACCGAAGCRACGACGCCATCACGCCGCTGCTCAACCAGGTGACCAATCACAGCTCTTCATTTATTTTAAACTGAAAGAAACCAGTTGTCATCACATTCAGTTTCTCACAGTAATGAGTTCTTTTTGAAATAATAACTGTGTCAATTAATTTAGAAATATTAATTTTTATTAGTTTTACTCTTGTTAGCAGAAATACATTCAGTTTTTTATTTCTCTTGTACGAAGAAGAAGACAGACCGGTATCTGACGGTGTGTTAATGAGATGTTGGTGCGTCTTGCAGTGGACGTACCAGGCGATGGTCCACGAGCTGCTGGGTCTGAACAACAACCGGATCGACTTGTCCAGAGTCCCGGGGATCAGTAAAGACCTGAGGGAGGTGGTGCTGTCTGCAGAGAACGATGAGTTTTACGCCAACGTGAGTCTTAAACACCGGAGCGTCATTTTTTAAAAATTTCTTATACACAATTTTCTTATTTCAGGATTCGTGCAGGGTCTTAAAAAGTAAAAAAAAAAAAGGTCTAAAATTTGAAAATCTAAATTTTAGGCCTAAAAAAAGTCTTAAAACACCCAGATTTTCATCCAAAGTCTTAAATTTTATTTTAAATTTTATTCTAAAGTTTTAAATTTTATTTTAAATTTTATTCTTTTTACTTTCAATCATTCCTGAGAAGCGTGGGCTGCAGAAATAAGGTAAAGCAAAGTAATCAGAGGTTGATGCGATCTGTCTTCGTGAAGTGCTGAGCTTGCTACCAGTTTGACTACAAATCCTGGAAGTGGTCCACAGCAGTCGATATGAAGGTCTCATAGATATGAACGTTTCATTAAAATAATTTAGTGTCCTTGTATTAAAATTAAATATTCTCTTATAGCTAAGTTGATAGCAATAAAAGGTCAAAGGTTTCTATGTTAAAATTTTTGGGATCATTTGGATGTCTTTGTTAATGTGCTGGTTTGGTCTTAAATGTCATTCCTAATGGTCTTAAATTTAACTTACTGAAACACACATGAACCCTGTTATCACTGCAAAAAATGTCCACCTAACCAAGTTTTAAAATCTTATATCCAGCCAAAAAAATCTATTTGATCTTGTTTTGAGACTGATTTACTRAACAAGAACTGATTGTGTAAGAAGAATAATCTTGTTTTCAGAATATGTAAGATTATTTGTCTGGTTAGTTTGAAAATTTGACTCAAATTAAGTCAAAATTTCTGCCAATGGAGTAAGAAAATTTTACTTGGTAAGACTTCCTGAAATACTTGATTTGACTCAATTTTTTCTTATTTCAAGAAGTCTTACCAAGTAAAATTTTCTTACTCCACTGGCAAATTTTCAGGTCAAATTTTCAGACTAGCAAGACAAATAATCTTACACATTGTGAAAACAAGATTATTATTCTTACACAATCAGTTCTTGTTTAGTAAATCAGTCTCAAAACAAGATCAAAAAGGCTTTTTGGCTGGATATAAGGTTTTAAAACTTGGTAAGATGGACAGTTTTTGCAGTGTTATTGCTCAAAGAGGAAACCTACTCGGACATGTTTAATAAAATAACTCGCCTTTTGTTTTTCTTTCTCGATATTAGAACTTGTATCTGAATTTCGGGGAGATCGGCACAACATAAAGAACCTGATGGAGGATTTTCAGAAAAAGAAGCCGAAAGGCAACAGAAGCTGGAGTCCATCGCTGACATGAAGGTTTGGGGTCAATCTGAGAGAGATGACATCATCTTCTGTCCTAAACAACGTTTACGATGTTTGCTGCCCGCTGTCGTCCCTGCAGGCATTTGTAGATAACTACCCTCAAAGAAGATGTCGGGCACCGTGTCCAAACACATGACGGTGGTGGGGGAGCTGTCCCGGCTGGTGTCGGAGCGGCAGCTCATGGAGGTGTCGGAGGTGGAGCAGAACCTGGCCTGTCAGAACGACCACTCCAACGCTCAGCAGGTTGACTCTTTCAAATCGCCGAGGCTGATTTTACTTCTCAAATACGTTTTGCTTTAAAGGAACAGTGTGTAGGATTTTGTCAATTCTTTTACCTGAAATGGAGATAATCACTAATGACAATAATAAAAAACATGTCTAATCATTGCAGACAAAGACCTTGTTTTATTATTTTT